CCCCCTGAAACCCTAGAGACCCGTAAATGACCTTATTTGCAGGGATCCCACCTCTAAACCCTAAACCCTAAACCCTAAACCCTAAACCCTAAACCCTAAACCCTAAACCCTAAACCCTAAACCCTAAACCCTAAACCCTAAACCCTAAACCCTAAACCCTAAACCCTAAACCCTAAACCCTAAACCCTAAACCCTAAACCCTAACCCTCAACCCTCAACCCTCAACCCTCAACCCTAAACCCTCAACCCTCAACCCTCAACCCTCAACCCTAAACCCTAAACCCTAAACCCTAAACCCTAAACCCTAGGGACAAACCCTAAACCCTAAACCCTAAACCCTAAACCCTACACCCTAGAGAACCCCCCCCCCCCCCCTTGTGTGCCGAGAGGCTCTCGCGCTGTCGACTGGCCGACGCCTGGCCGTGAAGGTCACGGAGCTGGAGAAGATGAGACTCCAGGCTCCCCGGTTTCGGGTTTCGGGTTTAGGGTTTAGGGTTTACAGTTTAGGGTTTAGGGTTTAGGGTTTAAGGCTTAGGGGCTATAGGCTTTAGTGGCTTTAGGGTTTAGGGGCTTTCGTGCTTAGGTGCTTTAGAGTTTAGAGTTCTAATTAAGGGTTAAGGAATTAAAGGGTTTTAGGGGTTTTAGGGGGCTTTCAGGGTTGAGTGATCATGTTTTCAATATCAGAAGTAATAAGGCTCATCATGATAATGTTCATGATCAGAGTCGTAGCCATTGATTGAAAGCAAGGTCGCCGATCAGAGTCGTAGTAGTTGATTGAAATCAAGGTCGCCATAACAGGGTTGATGGTTCAGGGTTCAGGGTTTTGGGGCTTAAACAAGCATGAGCTACTAGGGACGTATATCAGTGGTAGCCTACATGCTGGATAGAACTTGGGGCAGTTTTCTAAAAGGCGGTTTCTTTGGGCTTCTTGTTGGAGTGGCAAAGATCAGGGTTTAGGGCTTAGGGGTTAGGGTTTAGGGTTTAGGGTTTAGGGTTTAGGACTTAGGGGGTTTGGGACTTTGGGTTTGAGAACACAGGGCCTTACAGTTTGGGTTTAGGCTGAGGGCTGAGGGTGCCCGAGCCTCTAAATCCTTAAACCCCTTAGGGTTTAGGGTTTAGGGTTTAGGGTTTAGGGTTTAGGGTTTAGGGTTTAGGGTTTAGGGTTTAGGGTTTAGAAGAGGACTTCTGCCCTAGGCTCAACAGACAGAATCGGTGACTGTCAACGAAGTTAGGCTGCATGAATAACCCTACTTGGAAGCTCTTTTGACTTAGTATTAGTAAGGTGGGTCCTGGGGATTACAAGAGGGTTTCTGGGGGATACTAAGTAGACTTACTAAGTCAAAAGAGAAGCCCAAACGCCAAATTCCTACACCCCTGGCATCTAAACACCTAAACCCCTAAGCCCCTTAACCCAAGCCCAGGCCCCCCAAGCCTAAACCCTGAACCCTAAACCCTAAACCGTAAACCCTAAACCCTAAACCCTAAACCCTAAACCCTAAACCTAAACCCTAAACCCTCAACCCCTTAAACCCCCCCCCCAACCCCCCCCTTCCCCCCCCACCCCCCTCCCGAGTTTCTGCAGCCTGCGGCAGGCGAAGCACCAGACTCTTTGCGAGTCTCCGCTCTGCGAGATCCGCTTCGCCGAGATGATGCGGCTCGGACGGTGGTGTCCTGGTGTCCTTATCTCGTGTTCAGGTTTGGGAGGGGTAAGCCCTACACCCTAAACCCTAAACCCTAAACCCTAAACCCCAAACCCTAAACCCTAAACCCTAAACCCCAAACCCCAAACCCTAAACCCTAAACCCTAAACCCTAAGCCCTCAGCCTTAAACCCTAAACCCTAAACCCTATACCCTGAACCTGAAGCCGCTTAAGACCCAAAAAAACCCCTAAACGCTTCAGCCCCCACACCCGGTCACCCGATGGAGGGGGGGCGAGAAATGGTGTCCGGCCCCTTTGGTGGGCTCCCCAGTTCCGATGCACCATCCTCCGCACACCTGTTGGATACTTGGAGGTTCATGGTACTTGTTAACCAAGTATGACTGTACTTCTGCACTGTACTTCTAACCGTATTGGGGCACTTAAGGGGCTTACAAGTGGGTTATAAGTACAGTTATAATTGGTTAGTAAGTACCATGAACCTCCAGGTACCCATTTTAGGCCGAGGCCCCGGCGGCTTCTGACGATGACTGGACCCCGCAAGAGTCGACACCACGAACCTAGGGTTCGCAAACTTCCTAAGCTTCCTAAACTTTCAATCCCTAAACCCTAAACCCTAAACCCCAAACCCCAAACCCTAAACCCTAAACCCTAAACCCTAAACCCTAAACCCTAAACCCTAAACCCTAAACCCTAAACTTCAAGCCCTAATCTTCCTAAACCCCACCTCCCCCCCCTTGGGCCCTGAGCCCGACGTCTGCATCCTGAGGAAGGGCCTCGACAACGTGCTGCAACTCGAGGAGCGGGGGAGGGCCCCCTAAACCCTAATTATTGAGTTTGGGGTTTAGGGTTTAGGGTTTGGGGTTTAGGGTTTGGGGTTTCGGGTTTAGGTTCAGGTATGGAGTGTTAAAGGCCCACATTGAGGTTGAGTCAACCTGACTGGCTGCGCATCGGGGGGGGGTTTTACAGGGTATCTGGGTCTTGGGTTAGGGTCTAGGGGGGGTTTAGGGTTCAGGTTCTAGTGGGGGTAGCCACACAGAGCCCTTTGTTTAGGGGATCTTAAAAAGTGGTAAGGGGCCCTGTTGCAGGGACCGTGGACCTACCCTTCCACTGGGTGTAGGAATTTTCAGCGTGAGCCTTTTGGGTTTCAAGGGGATTGACTACCTCAGGTGAAGTGCATGGTTTATGGCTTCTGTGCTTTGGCAGGTGGGTAGAAAAATCAGGGGTTAGGGTTTGGGGTTAATGTTTCGGAGGAGGCATGCAGAGCTACCGTAAACCCTAAGTCCCAAAACACAATCCGAAAACACCCCAAAGCCCGAAGATATTTGCTCTAACATCTTTCCCGTTTCTCGGGTTGAGAGGACACATTTGGCGACGACGACCGCCACTATGCCCGACGGCTGCATCGAGGATATTTCGCAAGGGTTTTAGTTGTAGTTGGGTACCATTGGGATGACAGTTAGCTTCTAAACCCTAAACACGACACCCTAACCACTAAACCCTAAACTCTACACCCTACATCCTAAACCCTAGACGCTAAACCCAAAACCCAAAACCCTAGACCCTAGACCCCAGACCCTAAACCCTCAACCCTAAACCCTAAACCTTAAACCCTACACCCTAAAGCCCAAGCGCTAAGCCCCAAACTGCTTGATGCTTAGAACCCTGGTTGCAGACACATTGGGGACACACCCTAAACCCCTAAACCCTAAACCCTAAACCCTAAGCCCTAAGCGCTAAGCCCTAAAACCCCAAAACCCAAACCCCAAACCCCAAACCCCAAACCCTAAAATTTAAGCCCTAAGCCCTAAACCCTAAACCCTACGCAGCGTTGGTGAGCCCTAACCACGCTGTACGCAGGGTTTCGGGTTTAGGCTTTAGGGTTTTTAGGGTCTTAGGAGTTTAGGAGTTTACGGGTTCAATTTGGATTTCAGGAGTTTAGGAGCTCAGGGGTTCAGAGGTTTGGGGTTTTGGGAGTTTTTGAGTTTTGGAGTGCAGGGGCTCAGGGGTATTAGGGTTTTAGGAGTCTCGGAGTTTGGGAGTTTGGAGTGTAGGGCATTGGGGATCTTGTTTAAGAGTTTAGGGCTTTGGAGGTTCACTGTAGGGTTTGCCCTAAACCCATGAGGCGCAGAAGCTACTTGGAGGTTCATGGTACTCATTAGCCAATTATAACTGTACTTAACACCCACTTATATAAGCCCGATGCATGAAGAAAACCGTGCTTGCTGCGCGCCCGCCCGTTATGCTTGCCAGTCAATCTTGTTTTTCACTTGCAACACGGCAGGCCTGGAGCTGAAGCGGCCCCGCTTCAACTGGAAGACTTGTTGCGCCATGCCGGTGCAGCGAAGCGTAGCACGGCGCAAAGCAAGTATCACCACAGTGCTCTCCAATTCCTTCTTGGGGGACAAGCTCCTGAGCCGAGACGGGAGGGAAAGATGGAGCAGGATGCCTTGACATTGAAACATATACTGATCAGTGCCGAAGTGTGCCATTCACCAAGTGGCGCGCAAGGGGAAGAATTTACACGGCGGTGTGAAGCAGCACACCGGTCGAACCCGTTGCAGTGCCCCTTGCAACGTACCAGCGCTCAGGTCCATTTCCACATTCAAGAATGCTTGGCTGACGTTCTTTTCCAGCAAGATCGAGAGGCTATGAAAAAGCACAACTTGCTGAGCATGGGCCTGGCTCAGGCCGGAGGTATGTCCAAATCGCTCTGTGAGGTATGTGCCTGTTGCGACTAGTCAGATTGGGTTATAAGTACAGTGATATGTACAGCTTTAACTGGGTAATAAGTGCCATGAACCTCCAAGTAGAAGCTACGACTCGCCTCGTGAGGTCGTCACGGACCTTGCCTCTGGTGGAGACCTGATGGAGGCGAGCATGGATTTGAGGATTTAAGTTTCTGAGCCATTAGGGTTGAATGCTTGGGGTTTAGGGCTTAGGGTTTAAGGGTTTTAGGGTTTAGGGTTCAAGGCTAAGGGTTGAGGATTGAAGGGTCTTTAGGGTCAAATTAGGGTTTAAGCGGCTTGGGATACATGTTTTTCTCTCCAAGAATAAGGTGTCTCAGATTTTATAAGGGCTTGGGGTATAGGGTTTTGGAGCTATAGGGGTTTCAGAGTGTTTTTTTGGGTTTTCTGGGTTTAGGGTTTAGGGTTTAGCGGGGCGTATCTATGGCTTCAGGCGTACGCCAGGGGCTTGGGGTTTCGGGGCTTCAGGGCCGCAGGCCCTAACACCCCCGGAAGAACGAAGAAACCAGGTTTAGGGTTTAGGGTTTAGGGTTTAGAGTTTAGGGTTTAGGGTTTAGGATTTAGGGTTTAGGGTTGAGGGGTTAGGGCACCATTA